TCTCTCTTTCGTCTTTCTCTTCCTCTTCCTCTCTCTCTCTTTCCTCTCTTTCCTTCTTTCGAGCAGCTATCTCTCTCGTTTCCTGCAATTTAAAAAGAAAGCACTCTGAAGCGGGGCTTTAATTCCGTTTTATCGGATGACCTGTGCTGCGCGCACGGCCTCAAAATCGCTTCACATCCCGTAGCCGTATGTATGGCGACGCATGGCGGTATATATGGTTGCTTACGATATATATAATCGCATATATCGTCTATATTTGTACACGTCGGCAAACCGCCTCGCGATGTTTTTGACATGCCTTACACTCTTCCCCCACTTCTCTTACAATCGTCGCGCACCGCCGTCTTTGCCGTCGCCGTCGACCGTCGTCGTCATCGTCGCCGTCGTCGCCGTCAATCGTCGTCGCGTCATCGTCGTCAGCCGCCGTCGCCGTCACGTCGTCGCTCGCTCGTCGAAGAGATGATGTCGATTTGCGAGTGCAAACACAAGGAGCAGGCGCGCGGAGCGACCGGCGAGCGCATGCAGTGCGCGGTCGACATGAATAATTCACAACAACAAGATGCGAATGTATGTGCACAGATGAAAATGAGTAATACTCGCGCGTCTGGCCGTTTCGGAAGCCGCACCGCGCGACGGCGCGCCACGGCGGGCAGCACAATGACCCCTCTTATCTCTTCGTCCTTCTAGTCCTCCTCGCGCATCGGAGGCGAAACAAACGGCGAGGCACGCATAATGAGCACGCGCGGAGTTGACCGACCGCCATATTATGTGTGACGTGCCGCCGCCGCCATGTTGTCGGATACGTCACTCCGCCGCCATGTTGTGTTGATTCCGTGCGCCTCGCCGCCATGTTGTGTTCGATCGTTGCACCCGCCGCCATAGTTGTGTGCCCATCGTGCATTCCGGCGCCGCCCACTGTTGTGCTGTCGTGCGCCCCGCCGCCATGTTGCTGCTGATCGTGCACCCCCGCTCGTCATCCTTGTGGATCGGTGCACCCCGTCGCCCATCGTTGGTGATCGTGCGGCACGCCGCCTATGTTGTGCACCGTGCGCCGTCGCCCATGTTGTGCTTGATTCGGCGCACCGCCGCCATGTTGTACGTGATCGTGCGCAACCGCCGCCATGTTGTCGTACGTGCCGCCCGGCTCGCCATGGTTGTGTGTCTGTGCGCACGCCGCCATGTTGTCGCCTGACCGCTGCTCGCCCGTCGCCACTTGTTGTGTTGATCGTGCGCACCGCGCCATGTTGTGTGATCGTGCATCCGAAATGCCGCGTTGGATTTCATGCTGCCCATTGTGTACGATCGTATTTACAAAGTTGCAAAATTTTGCCGATCACTATTTACTACTTACGGCCGCCATCGTTTCGCTTATCATATGTTTTCAGCACCACGATTTCCCCGACGACAATGATCACTTCGCCATGTTTTTCGTTTCAGATTTCATTATCAAAACTGCTCACGTAAGTGCAATGGCCGCGGATGCGTAGTTGACACCCATGCCAGCACTGATGATGTAGTCACCTCAACCCCTCGACGATGGCTCTGTGAGGTGTGCGACATCGTCTTTTTCGCAGCTTAACTCGCAAGCAAGACGCAGCTGTTTGATTAAATACAGCTGAGTCTCGGAGCGAGAGGACTTGCTCTATTGCTTTCCCTCAAAGTGACGTGTGAAATCATTTCGTGCCCTACGCGAGCGTACACACACCGTCTTCACGGCGCATTTCATTCTTTTTCAATGTAACCGCCGGAATAAATTTGTAATAAAACTGGCTGAATAATTCAATGAGGCGCACTTAGAGTTTGTTGCCGTCTCTCGCGCCTCGCTCGGCGAGCTCTCTTGATATTCTAGAGGAGGATACCCCGGCAGAGCTGCCCTGCTCGCGCGTAAACATTCAATTATACTATAGATTTCTATTTTCGTCGCGCACGTACGATGCCGCATAGTGTATTTTAACGTTCCGCACTGCGATGGATAAGGTCGTTACTGACTCAGTTTACCCTGCCCATTAACGTATCAGTCGATGCACTTGTTGTTCTAGGATTCCGCGCTTATAGCACAGTAAATACACTGATCTCGCTAACTGAGAGTGATATATATTGCAGTTACGTGCTGTGCGAGCGTCCGGCGTGCTTGCGCTGCCGTGCGTGCGTGCGTATATATGAAGCCAGTTCGGGGCAGGCAGCGTTGCAAGGAGTAGTATGCGCAGCCAAGAACAACGAGGGTACCCGTGAGGGACGGAAACTGAAACGAGGAGAAGTTGAGTGAGGGAAGCCAACTGATGCCGAGAAAGGCAGGGGAATTGCCAGCAGCGACGATCAGGGAGACCTTATAGGAAAAGTGTGAGAAGAGCGCACGACGCAAGTCCGGCGCGAGGAGCAGAAAGAAAGACCGAGCAATGAGATAAGCGAACCGGCCGAGACGTTTGTGGTGGGAGCGAAGAGTCCAGCTAACGAGCGCGGGAGAGCAGCAAGAAAGGCGATTAGGGGAGCTGTGCTGTGAGGGCAATGAAACACGGGCATCGAAGCAGGGCGTGAGTGAGAGAGCCGACTAGATGGAAGCGCAGAGACAATTAACGGAAACGGGGAAAACCAAACGACCGTGAGAAAGAACAATCGGGCGGGCGTGTGCGGCGTCAGCGTCGAGGGAACTAGCAAACTCATCGAGTTTGATTTCCCCCATAAACCAGTCAAATACACCGATTTTACGATTAACGTTCGCATTTCGCCTTCGCCAAAATTTCCACTGCAAATCGTTTGACCGAGCAATGAGTAAAGTGCAGAGGCCGGAATCGATGTGTATTCTGGTATAAATCACGGCTGAAATCATTACTGAGCCCTCGACACAGCTGAGAAATCCGCTAATGCGAACATGTACTTAAGCAGCGATTACCGCGTCACATCCCGGCCAAATGCAAAGCTGCGATTAACACCTCTCTAAATGTGCTGCAATTATAAAATTGGGTAAAATACTTGATATATAATCGCAAAGCATTTTCCAACGCAATCAATTCTCTAACCTTT